CCCCTTGTTATACTTATAGAAGCGCTAAGGGCAGATTCAAAATTAACAACAAATTATGCTGTAATGGTGACCGCCTGCTCTGTTACCCTGATGTGCACTCGTTCTACTTACGGGTCCCCTGCATGTGATCCTGTTATTCTCCATCTTCTCACACTGGGGGTCGCACTCCACACAGACGGAACCGTTGGCAAACTCCCGGAATTCACTAGGGAGACAATATTGTATTAATTTCGTACATTTCTTAATTGCTTTCTCAGAGTTCAAACATTTTATTGACGCTCGTTCAAATCACTTGTTAAAACGCATATACTCGTGGAACAACAATCCGCAGCACCGGATTGCTCTGCTCTTGAACCTCGTTGTCGAAGGCCCCTTTGCATGTTGGACGGAATGTTGAAAGGGAGGAACGGTTACAGCCCCACAGTGATCATTTCCCAACAACTTTCATTCAAAAGAGTAAAGTTTATTGAGTACAGTAAAGGCAGGTCTTCCGTGCACACATTCTGTGTTAGGACTACCGGGAAACACGCCAGTGGGGAGTTATACATAATTCAAAGGGGCCCCCTGATGACCCAGGTCCAATCGGCATCAGCGAGAGCCCGCCTAAGCTAACAGGTCAACATTCCCAGGGAAAGCAGTAACGAGGTACCAAGGTCACTATCTGAGGCTACATAGATAAGAAGACCGTAAGAAGAAACAAAACTTAAGATTCCAGGACTGGAGCAGACCAACATCTTCCCCCACCCCACCAGCCATGGCAGCAACAGCAGAGGTTCGGCTGACAAGAACTTTGAGTCAACGGGCTGAACCAAAGACATCACTTTCCCCTGCAACTCCCTCCTCCTTGAACACTCACAACCTCTCCCGGGGGAAAGGCAGCTGTGGGAACGGGATGCAGGGGAAAAGGTCAAGTGCCTCTCTCCTGTGCGTCTGCTGTATATCAGCCCTTAACCCTCCTGCTCTGTAGCTGTCCAGGGGGATAGGCAGATCTAGCCTGACAGCCACATCTTACTGTAGGCCAGAGGTCACCAGTGGGGTGCCTGAAGGTGGCATACTGCCCACCAACAACTTTCCTGGCACCTGTCAAGTGTTTTTAGAAAGGAGGTGGAGCTTTTGCCCAGCAGGGCTTCTGAATGGCCACTGGAAATCTGTTGAAGGGTTACTATTAGAATTATGTGTAACCCTCATGTTATGTCTGGACACGAGCAATCTTCCACTCCGGCTTACCTGCTGCTGGAGGCATGCCTGGACGTGTCTGCAGGCCACCTAGAGGAAGCGTGGAGAGGCATGTCTGGGCTTGCCCGGGCAGGCCACCTAGTTGGAGCTTGAAGCCCCAGAACAAAGGCAGGCGGGATCCTGGGACCTGCCTGCGGATTGGCCCCTGAGGGCAGACAGGCAATCTGGAGCTTGGAGGCCATTTGAGCTCACCAATCACATGGGGGCTGGGAGTGGCTTAGGTGTATATAGTTAGGGCAGTTGCCCCATGTAAAGCGTTCCTGTTGAGATGCAACAGTGGGAGGGGCTTCTGGTGTCCCAGCCCCACTGCTGGACCTCCTGATGGCACCTGGTATTTTTGGCCACTGTGTGACACAGGAGTGTTGGACTGGATGGGCCACTGGCCTGATCCCACATTGGCTTCTCTTATGTTCTTATGTTCTTAACTGCTGCTTGCTGAAATCACTATGCCTTCGCCTCTGCCATGTTAAACCCACTATTTAACACCTCACACCCTGACCATGTGTGGTTGTTCCCCTCATCCTGTGGCAGCCATTTTGTAGTTGGCTCCACCTCTCACTGCAGCCATTTTGTAGTTGTGCCCACCGTGCTGCGTCACAATCCTAAAGATGCCCACAGGGTCAGAAAAGGTTGGTTGGGGACCCCCGCTGTAGGCAATCCATCCTCTGGTGCAAATAAAATGTAAAGACCGCCCATCCTCGTGGTGGGAGAAATACCAAGAGGGAATCCAACCTAAAACCTAGAGGAAGTGGTAATAAAGGCGCACGGTTCTTGCCTGGTCACCATGTTCTCTTTGCAAAGCTGAAGCTGCATGTACGAGAACATTAAGTGACTTCTTGGGAGTGGGGTGGGGATCAGAGAGAGAGGAGGATTATCGCCGAGGAGAACAATTACGAAGCTCGAAATGATCCTGTCTTGAAATTCAACTTTGGCTATATATGAGCACTTTTTATTCTTTATAGCATCGTACTTGTCTATCCAGGGGAACAGTGGCTAAAATTACACTGAGGATGAGTTTGTAAAAAGGCTTTTTTTTTTGGTACAGATTTTGAAAAGAAAAAATCTTTCAGGGAAATTGGCTTTGATTACGAGATGCTAATGGGTAATCTGGACTTCTTTCATACACCCTCTGGATAGGCTCTCTCCCCCCCCCTCCAGCCTCCGCTTTCAAAAGCAGCTTAGCACATGCTTAATTGAAGCATATTGACTTCTTACGTTAAATACACTTCCTCAAAATCAGCCCCGAGGGGAGGGAGTGTGTTCAAAGGGAGATTCACTCAAAATGCAACTTCTGAAAATCAATTAAGACAAAGTCGCGGTGCCGTGGATTTTTCACTCCTGAGCATTCTGGGGACAGGGCATTTTCAGGAGATGCAACCCCCACAACTTTTTCCCCAGCCTCTTCTTGCACCCGTTCACACTTGCCACCTCGGCAGCCGTAGGCTTGGCAAACCTTTAACTTTTCTGTCAGGGAAACTTGTCTCAGTCACAACAGGGTCCCAGCCAGTCAGGGATCACACAGGGTCTGCGATAACAGCCCAGTGCCACCCAGCCAATCAGCTCCCCTGTCACTACATTATGAAGAAAGGCCAGCCAGCTGGCAGACCAGCCTGTTTGTCTGTGGTGGCTCCATTGTCTGCCTTCATGGGGCATGTTGCTCCCAAGCACATTCTCGCTATCTGCTGATCTCCCCCAAGGCAAGGAAAAAATTACCAAAAAGGGGGGTACTTTTCGGAGAGTGTGAAAATGTTAATGCAAACTGGCCTCCTGTGTTACTTTTTTTTCTTTAAGGTAAGGCTTTTAATCGCTAGAGATTTAAATAGCATAAAAGACGGAATACTTCACTTTTAATTTAATGATGCGTACATAGGGGCTGTGGTGGCTCAGAGGTTAAGACACTAAGCTGCAGACCGGAAGGTCTGTAGTTCGGCAGTTCGGGACCCGAGTGTGCCGCTTGACAGAGTGAGCTCCCGTCTCTGGCCCCAGCTCCTGCCAACCCAGCAGTTCGAAAGCAAGAAACTGGAAGTAGATAAATAGGCACCACTTTGGTGGGGAGGTAGCAGCGTTCCATGCGCCTCGGCGTCTAGTCATGCCGGCCACATGACCACGGAAATGTCTTTGGACAGTGCTGGCTCTTCAGCTTGGACACGGAGATAAGCACTGCCCCCTAGAGTCAGATCTGACTGGCTTTCGAGCAAGGGAAACCTTGACCTTTACCTTTAATGCATCGATGTAAATACTCAGGGCACTTCGACACATGTTCTTATCAAAGCTGTTGTACCAAATACACAAATAAATAAAAGCTAACCTGGAGAGGGACTTGAAACGCTATCTGCTGGGATAGCCATTCAAACTCTGCCCCCCTCATTCCATTATCTGCCTGTTAACTTAATCAGAAAGTACTTGGCTGATATGGATTAGCTCTGGATCAATCAGAAGGGGGCAATAAATGCCCCGGTCCCAAGTCAGTCAGGGTCATAGCCAAGGCTCCCTCTAAGCTATAGAGCCTTGTGAGCAAAAATTCTACTTTGTGAGCTCCTGGGTATTAAAGTTGTGAGCGAGCGATTGGGCTGCTGCATAAATTAGTTCGCTCTGGAGCCCTCCTTTCTGAGCTGAGATGAAAATGTGTGAACTGGAGGCTAAAAAACTGTGAGCTAGCTCACACTCAGCTTAGAGGGAACACTGGTCACAGCAACTAACAGCCTGGGACAAAAGGGGGGAGGGGGGAGCAACACCCTTCATAGGCAACTTGAGCCTGTGAGCTACCAGTGAATAATTCCCTTAGGAAAATCTCTTCCATTTCAGAGGAGATTGCCAAGCAAAACAGAATTACCTTTAAGAGTGGGTGTGCAGACTCACAATCTTATATTTTGTGCATTTGCGGCTGATAAGCAGGTGTGGGTCTGAGGGGTCATTGCCCCCGCCCGGCACCAGAGAACTATGAACACTTTGTCCTTATCCCTTGCCACTCATTTCAATAGGCTTATACTGGAGTAACGCCGCACAGGATTGCACTGTTGGAACCTAACAGTACGCCCCTTCCGTAACCACTATGAGCACATTTCTAGTAAAGCCCAAAAGAAGGCTGAAGGGGGGGAGAGAGCTTACCCCTCATACAGATTGCAAGCCTCCACACAGGTCCTTCCTCTGATGAAGTGCTTACAGGACAAACACTGGTCCGGCCCGGGGCCCCAGCACCCGTCTTTGGAGCACAGGCGGCTGCACACCATCCCCTCCGCGGCTGTGAAAGAAAGACAGGAGAGCGACAGCTTGTGAGGCATTTCCCTGCTACACAGGAGGCTCGATCCTGAGACTCGGAATACATGGAACACGTGAAGCTGCTGTAGACTGAGTCAGACCGTTGGTCCATCGAGGTCAGTGTTATTTCTTGATTTATTTATTTCGACTTATATTCTGCCCTCCACTCATGGCAGGCTCAGGGCAGGTTACATCAAATTGGATTTAAAAATGCAATATACACCATTAACACAGAGGAATTTCACATTACCCTTTTTAACCGTTTAGAAGCCGTTTTTGATCTGTCATGGAGTAAACCGGTATAGGGCTGCCATTTCACACATGGCTTTCCCCTTCTGGTATAGAGCTGGATCTGAAGTGGTTTGCCATTTCAGACTGCACCGCTTTTCCTCGCTTTTTCCCCGCCGTTTCTCGCCCATGCGGGTGATCTCCAGCTTTTTTTAAAAAAAACATTCGCTTTATAGCGCTATAGCATTATAACAAAACACTCCAGGCATTTCAATGGGTTTGATATAATGCTGTTGCGTTATAGCGCTCTAAAGTGAGCGTTAAAAAAAAAGCCGGAGATTGCCCGCGCGGGTGAAAAACGGTGGGAAAAAGCGCATCGGAACTGGGAGAGGAAACTGAAGACTACTTGGAAGCGGTTGACAGGTAAAACGCTTCAGCCCCGTTTCCTAAACGGGATAGAAGTGTTTGTGTCTGAAATTACAGATATATTCCAGTAGGGAACCGGTTCTAAAACGATTCTGTCTGAAATGACAGACCAGAAATCGTTTGGGAACCGTTCCTCTTCCGGATTATATCGTCTGTCTGAAATTCCTCACAAAACACTAGTAAAATACCACAATAACCTTATCCGGTGCCCGTTGACATTAGAACCTCGCAGATGTCATCTCTGGTATGCAGTTCTGACCCACTGAGGGGAGGCCCAGTAACGAGAGGGGGACATCTGTCACCATAGTTAAAAAGCCTGGCGGAAGAGCTCTGTCTTGCAGGCCCTGCGGAACTGTAAACGGCCCCGCATGGCCCTCATCTCGTATGGCAGCTCATTCCAGCAGGTAGGGGCCAGGGCTGAAAAGGCCCCGGCCCTAGTCGAGGCGAGATGGACAAATGGAGGTGCTCTGCCTCTGCATAGCGACCCTGGACTTCCTTGGTGGTCTCCCATCCAAATACCAACCAGGGCTATGTATGCCAGCCTGGCCTCTTTGGAAGACAACGGTGGAATAACTTTCAGTTGGGTTAATGATTCCAGTTTCCTATCTGGATGCTCGGTGGCTGCATTCAGACGCGGTGGCAGCTCATGGTAAACCCTTGAATACATACGTCAACAGACGATGTTGCCTCCCACGAGCCCGGCCCTTGGTCTATCAAGGCCAGGCGTCTCAGGCTCTCGGGTCATGGTCATTCCCAATCCCTGCTACCTGATCCTTTCAGCTGGAGATGCCAGGAACTGAAACTGGGACCTTCTGCATTGCTCTACTGCTGAGTCACGCCCACTTGGGAACACGGACTCTTGTGCGCTCTTTCCCCCCTTCCCCCTGCACCCATGGCTCAGAAATTAATCAGTTCTGCATCTGTGACAAACCACATTCTGTATGAATGGCAAAAATGTCATTTATATCCTTGACTCCAAACCAAGTTTGCAAACTACAGTTTAACCCTGCAGTTGAGCCAAGTGAACAGACCATCCTTTGCAATATTGACAAATGCTCATATTGTTACCAATGAGGAAGTCATTATTTCTACATGAGGAGAGAAGCAGCCCATGAGTTTGAGAACTTTCAGTTTGTGCATGGGATAGAGCAGGCAGAGAAAGAAGTCTTTTTCTCCCTTTCTCACAGTACAAGAACTCGTGGGCACTCCATGAAATTACTGAGCAGTCGGGTTAGAACGGATAAAAGGAAGTACTTCTTCACCCAAAGAGTGATTGACACATGGAAATCACTGCCACAGGAGGTAGTGGTGGCTACAAGCATGGACGGCTTCAAGAGGGAATTAGATAAGCATATGGAGCAGAGGTCCATCAGTGGCTATTAGCCACAAGGTATAGATAGGGGCTCTCGGTCTGGGGCAAGGGATGCTCTGTCTTCTTGGTGCTTGGAAGGGGTCAACAGTGGGAGGGCTCCTAGTGTCCTGTCCCCACTGCTTGACCTCCTGATGGCCCCTGGTATTTTTGGCCACTGTGTGACACAGAGTGTTGGACTAGATGGGCCACTGGCCTGATTCAACATTGGCTTCTCTTATGTTCTTATGTCTGTGTCTGTGAATGCAGCTATTACAATAAAGGAATGCAGAATGGAACTATTATATCATTAAACATGCCATATATTACATTTAAAAGTCCCATGTAGCCCGTTTTCCTGAAAGTGGAACCTTCTGGAAAGTCATACATGGAAATGAACCTCTGTTCCCAATGAAGATGAACAAGTCCCTCTACTCATATAAGAGGGGAAACCTCACAGAAATCTTTCATTAAAAAACCTTTCCTTGTCAGCCACTTTTATTAAAGGAGAGTTCCGCCGACAGTTATTACTGCACTAATTAAACAAGCAGGAATCAAGACAATTAGGCTATAAAGATTTACAAACTTAATTGACTGAAGGAGAAACCTGCGGCTTTCCAAAACAGAACTGATAAATGATTCCAAAGCACTGAGGGGCTGTTGAATGGCTCTTCCCTGTTGGCGCTCGTCTGCTACCCCCAATATCAGGGAAGAAGGGGGGTGCCACTATGTTCTTCTGACCCACTGTTCGTTCTGCCAAGGGCTGCCAATGTTCCCTCTAAGCTGTGGAAACCATCTTTCCTGAGCTAAGACAAAAATGTGTGAGCCAGAGGCTCAAAAACTGTGAGCTAGCTCACACTAACTCAGCTTAGAGGGGACACTGGCTGGCACCCCCTTCTTCATAACACAAACATGAATCACAGTGTACCAGTCACACGTCCAGAGAGAATGCTCCGAGAGACTGCCCGCGGGAGCTCGCGAGTCATCAAGATTTTTCTGGGTTGCTTCGGGACAGGTGGTTATCAGGGCTCACATACAACAAAGAGACTCAATGGCCGAGTTCAGACTGGCAGTTTGGCCCGGCAGCCAAACGTTTCAGGAGCATTTCAGGATCGGATTAAAGGGGCGGGTTCACACAGGCACATCTGTCAGGCGTCCCCCAGCCGTACTCAAGCCGTCTTGTGCCGCTTCCCTCCCGAGTTTACAAAGTACCAGGTGAAAGTGGTAGCAAACCGTGTGTAGAGCGGGTTGATTC